GGGGGGGGGGGGGGGGGCGGGGGGGGGGGGTCAAACATTAAACCATTGCTCACGCATCTGACGAAGGACGACGTGAAATTCCAGTAGGGAGAGGAGCGACAACAAGCGTTCAACGAACTGAAGGAAAGAATCCAGTCGCTCCCTATCCTTGGACACTTCAATCCATCGGTGCAAACGGAAGTTCACACGGATGCCAGCAACGCCGGACTCGGCGCGGTACTCCTCCAAAGACAAGACGAAGCAGAGAGCGTGCCCGCCTACGCAAGGCGTGCACTGTCCAAGGCAAAGTAAGATTACTCTACGACAGATTAGGAACGCCTCGCTGTCCTCTGGATGTTAACCAAGGTCCGCCCGTACCTGTACCGGATCCCATTCCGCGTTGTCACTTACCACCACGCTCTGTGTTGGCTCGCCAACCACAAGGTCCCGTCAGGACGCCTCGCCCGCTAGAGTCTCCGACTTCAAGGATTCGACGTAACCATTGTGCATAAGTCTGGCTGCAAGCATAACGACGCCGACTGTTTGTCTAGGGCCCCAGCTGAATCTCCTCCCGACAGCACTGACGACGGCGATGACGCCCGTTTTCTCGGCGCAGTTGTAGACACCGAAATGGGTGCACTTCAACGAGACGACCCGGAGCTAGAAGTTCAAATAGTTAAACAGCACAAAACGTAGGTGTCATTTTTTCAGAACATATGCAATGGAACAATCATATCAATTACTTAGTTAAGAAATTGACAAATGTTGTTAGAATAGTATGTCACTGTCGCTCCTTGTTGCCTGTAAATATTAAAATGCAAATTTATTATGCTCAATTTAGCTCACAAATTAAACATTGTCATTTGGTTTGGGGCACAACCGTTAAATCTAATAACAAACCTACGATCCTGCGAAAAGAAAATGCTGCGTTTTATTGCAAACGTGCCTTACGACACTCATATGGAACAATTATTTCTTAAATTCAATGTCATGAGGATTGCCAGTGTGTACAAGTACCGTTTGCTATGTTCTTATTTATTTTCGACCGATGAGTTTATTTCTTCTTTGTCTAATGTATCCTACCTGACAAAACGCGAATCTTCCATCCTTGTCAGACGCAGTGAGTTCTGGAATGTGCCTCATTTTCGTACAAATTATGCACTGCAATCTATTGCGCATAACCTGCCTAAATTACTTAACAAGTTCATTATAAACCACAATCTTTAACAAAAAAGGATGTACGCGTTTGGTTTATTTAGACAAAGAGTTGTGTATAGTAGTCGTTGTTTTTACCATGCCCTGTATGTGCAGGGGCACCAGACCCAGACAAGCTACCTCATGGAAGCTTTTTGTCCGGTGCCCTTAGCACAATATTGCTGAAAATAAATATGACTTACTAAATATTACTTACACCGGAAACACGAAACCCTACATATAATGCACCTCAAGAATGCCATTTTTTACGTCCATTTAAACAAAAGTTTATTGGAGGTTAGATTTTTTTTATAAAATAAGTACAACAAATTTTAAAAAAGTCAAACAAAACAGATTCATTAGTAATGAAGTCTCCCGAATTTTAGAGTATGTGAGATTCTTCTTTAGAGAAATTCAATCTTACTTTTTGGACAGCGAAATTATTTTAACAACCCAAGCCGCGAATCCTTATTATCGGGTGTTCTTATTCTCATTGGACTCACGTTTCTCTCATTTGAAGGTGTTCTGCTCTGGATACTGGAGAGATGGTTTTCAATCTACCAGATCGCACAGATTGGCACGATACTTGCATGGCTTGGAATGATAGTCTCCACATTTGCACCAAGTTTGTCATGGGTAGTGATCACGTTTGGCTTAATTTATGGTAATATACAATTCCTGGGAATACAATGTGTGTTTATTACCCATTTTCAAGATTATTTTTAAATTTCTGCGGGGCAATTACTGCTTTAAAGGTACTTCCCTAAATTATGTAATTGTTGCCCCTATGTAGAGCATGGTAGGTGATGCAAAACAGTTAGCGACGTGTGGTGACATGCTGTAGCACCAATCACCAATTCTTATTTGATATCCCTCACTGAAGTATTGAAACTAGATATGCTTAGATAATTTTTCAACGTTTCAAATTGAAGAACTGTTAATCCAATAGTTATCGGAATAACTTAATGTTTATGTTACCAAATTCTTTACTATATTTCGTCCCCGCCATTTTTTTCTCAAACCGAAAATCTCGACAGTAACGTAGAAAGAACTAGCCTCAGCGGTGGGCACAAATTTATTGTTAGGCTTCTAAACCGTTTTTCCGACTGGTTATAATAAATTTAATTGTCCCATATATTATGGTGTGAAAGGAATGTTGCGGGTTCGCACTTACCCCCCGGAAGTGGTAGAACACAAGGCTCGGAATCTTGGGGACCCGGTTTTCATTCTTGGCAGTACATGACGTTAGGAGTTCTGCTTTTCATTTTTAGCTGATTGCTATTTTTTTAATTATGTTTTTTTTTTCTCATAAAATTTATGTAGTAAAATATACGACGGTTTTCGTGTGTTCCGTCACACCTTCTTCACTTCACCCAGCCCTGAAACACAATCTGTATTTACAAACAAACAAGGCGATTCAGTATTCCCGGTCTGTCAAACATAAGTTTCGAGGAAAATAGAAGAAAAGGAAAGGGCTGATCAAAACTCCTAAAAAAAGGGTCAAGCCTTACACCCTTTGTTAAATATAATACACCCCATAACTTCAGCTCGACGTACAGCGCATTGCCGTGGAACTAAAGGCCCTAACGTTTACGGGGGACTTCATAACGGTGCCGTATAACTTAATAAACAGCAAAAGTACGTATTAAAACCTACAAAAAATAAACATTTAGGTTTCGCAGTATGGCAAAAAAGAATCATTACTTTCTTGCAGTCAGCCACACGTACATTAGCTATTTCAAAAGGTTGTACAACTGGACTGACAAGCCGCACGTGAAGGCTCGTACCGTCAATTCAGCGCCAGTGCGCAGTGCGTCAAACTTAAGTTTTGGGGTGTATAAGATCTGACAAGGGGTAAGAATGTACCCTTTTTTTTAGTGAAGTTTATACACGATCTGCACTGGAACAGTGAGCATAAACGTTCCGTAATCTTTCCACTAAATCTTAATCTTGCGCCCATCATCCAGAATCGCCATTTAAGTACAACAATTAGTGTATTTACGCAAATCTTACGCCAACGTATAATGAAGAAAAACTCACGTAACAAAGTATGTCTCCCAAAGAACTGTAGCAGTTTTAACATCAGTCATAAACTATACCCGTCACCGAACGCTCAATTTTCAGCAAATAGGGAGCTAGCGGTCGTTACCAAACACCAACGTGTCAGAGCTTGCCGTGTTAGGATCAGAAAGTTATGATCCACACTTAATTGTGATTGATTAATATTAGAAAAAAAACTTCCCGCTAGCCAACCTCAGTTATCTTCGTCCATTCGTGCGCTTCGTCGGCCTTCAATTTTTTTTTCTTACTGAAAAAATGGTTTAATGTTTGACGCCTTTCATATCTCATATTACCATGTGAGACATTCATATAAACAAAAATTTGAAAACTAATTTGTTTTGTCACTGCACTTCACAAATTTAATGGTTTCTTGGCGGTCTCCGATAAAACATCCACGCATTACAGAAAAAAAAAATGTTGGCTGCTGTGCGTCAGATGTATTTATTCGTAATATTCCAAATTAGGAACCAATTAAAGACAAATAAGTGAAAAGAATGACATGTTTGTGCCATTTGAGAGGTGAAGTATGGTCGACAATCATATCCAACCTTCGAATTAGCATGTACGCTTTTCAATCAGAAAAAATTACATAATATTTGATATAGTTATTGCATTAACTCTAACGGATTATTGGTCGCATAGCAAGCGGGAGAGCTGGCCGCGTCGCGGCAGTCCCCTATTGTTCGCCGCCACAGTCGCCTATTGTTCGCCGCCACCTGGTGGTAGCCGGCGTAGAATCACCGGGAAGCAATGGCGACGAACAGCAGAGAGGAGAGAGTCTCCGTCGTGATTACGACGGGGTTCAATGCGGTTACGAATCCGGAAAACTGCTTCGGTAGCCGGCGCAGAACTATTGGGAAGCCATGGCGACGAACAGCGCAGTGGACACGCAATGTCCCCGTCGTGATTACAACAGGGTCTAAGGAGGTTACAAATCCAGAAAGCTTTTTCGATGATGCCAATGTGACGAAGGGAAAACTTCACGAACCTGGCCACGTGTACGACGTGAAGGAGGTCCGTTTAGACGGACCTCCTTCACGTAAGTACATAAGAGCATTTTCCTAGATAATGCCGTTGAGTGGAGTGCGCTAATGATGTACATTTATTGCTTTTTCAATCAGCTTAACAACAACCGGTCGATTTTTTTCGCGCCGTTCTACAATTACGAGCACTACTCTCTACGTGTAGGCTGATCGAAACATCCAAGGGTGGATTGTAGCTTAGGTGAACGACCTTGTTCCGCTTCTCGTTCCTGGTGAAGAGTTTGCTGCAGATTTTAGAGCTTGCTAGAGGTGCCCTCGTTGTTCCATCTTCGCTAGGAAAAGTTATTTGTATCATGCTTCAGTATCTTGAAGAAAAATGCGAATTGCAAGGTGAGAAACGCCGTTCACTTGCATCAACGCACAAGTCGCACCCAGGTTGCGCGGCGCTTCGCCTCGTACCGCTTCGAAGGGAAGCCGTAAAACTTTGCGCAGATGCCGACGTTCAGCAATGCTGTTTTGATTTTTGGGGTGAAAGAACACTCTAAATGCTTTTTGGATTCGAGAAAAATCTGATAAACTTGCACATTCATCTTCCTATTCGTGCTTTTATGTTCCATGTGTGTTTTAAGCCATGATGCTTTGCTAAAACTTGATTCCAACGGAAGACACAAGTTCGAAAAATATTTTTTTTTCAAGTTACCTAAAGAAATCAAACAACCGTATCTCGCAGTTTTTACTAGGCTTATAATAGCTTTGAGACTAATCTTTATCTTTTCATTCCAGGTACCGGTGCGGGAATTTCCTCGTTGGCTCTTAGTGTCCTTATTAATACACTCTTTGATCAGTACAGGGGAGTCGCCAGCGGCATCAAGTATGCGGGAGCATCCCTGTCTTCGTTGATCTTCGCGCAAATACTTGTTCTCATGCAAAAAGCGTACGGTCTTCGAGGTACCTTTCTCCTCTGCGGGGGAATCATGATACATTCCACAGCTCTCGTTATTCCGTTAAAAGAACCACTCTGGAAGAAACCCCGGCACACCTTGCATGAGCTGCAAAAGGTACACGAAAACGAAGCAATTGACACCATCGGCCAGCACCAAAGTCACTCGCCGCAAGGCCAGTCCCCCTCTGAACGTACCGCGTTACTCCAACTTGAGAGTGCGTGGAAGTGCCTGAGGTTCTTTCAAAAACCCATTTTTTATGTCGTTATACTATACTCACTTCTCGGAGATTACAGTAGCCTCACTTTTCAAACGACCTTCGTTGACTACGCCATGGACAAAGGGTTTTCTCTTACAGTGGCAGAGTCGCTAGTGATGTATAACTCGACGATTGCGTTGCTGGGAGGCTTAGTCATTCCCCTCATTGCAGACTGGAAATTCCTGCGTCGTAGCACACTAGTGACAATTAGCTGTTTTGTCCTGGCCTGTGCATTGCTTATTCTTCCTCATGTTAGGTCGTTCTCGGCTCTTTTTGTTACTGCTCTATTCGCAGCAATGTTTCTCGGGACTAATGCATCAATAAAAACTGTCCTTATGGCTGACTACCTAGGCGTCGACGGGATATCGACATGCTGGGCAATTTTGGGACCGGCTGCTGTGCCCGTTTGGCTATGCAACCCGGCGATAATAGGCAAGTTCCGTTCTCTACCTTTCAAAATGCAGACATCGTGGTTTAATCTCTTTTTTTAACTATAATCTACGGTGAAAACTTTCTTCTGGGCGAAAATGTGAGGTCCGGCTGCAAATAAAAAGTACCCATGAGCATCACGGACACATGATTGTAGCTTACTACGTACAAACTACCGCACTATCAGATGCTGCCCGCCATCCGCGTGTTGCCTCTGAGCGTGCGGTACTCTGTCATACAGATCACTGTCCTAAAAACAAATCTATCATCTTTGGTGCAGACTGTGGGAAATGAATATTAATCTTAAGAAACCTGTCGACGTTTCATTTACGAAACGGCGAGTGCTTATACAAATAATGACGAGCTACTCACTGTAACCTACGAATGCAAATATCTCGGTGTATTTCTAACATCGACCGTAAGTTGGAATAGGTATAATGACTACACTGTCTCTAAAGCCTCGAGAATACTTGGCTTCCTCGATCGTAATTTTAAGCCTGTACCACATTCCTTAAAGGAAAGGCTATTTTTCACATGTCCGTTCAATATTAGAATATGCTTGCACTATATGGGACTCTTACACTGCTGTTCAGATCCCCAAACTTGAAATGATGCAGAACCGGGCTACCCGTTTTGTTTTAAACAATTATGACAGGCGACTTAGTATAACCTACGCGAAGCAGAGACTGGGATGGAAGGCGCTAAGCTTTAAAAGGAAAAGCCTCCGACATAAATGTTTTAATAGCATATTTCACTGTAGGACTGGGATAGAAAGAAATGGCTACCTTCACCCGTCAGATTACAAGTCGCAACGAAAGGATCATGTTTATAAGGTTAAGAAAATTCGTTGTAGAACTGACGTCTTTATGAACTCATTTTTTCCTAAAACTATACGGGATTGGAACGGTTTGCCAACCTCGGTAGTCTACATTGCTCCTAACGGTAGGTTTTATTCAACACTAACCTCTTAGTGTTTAGTTCCTTTTTTAATAGACCGCACTTTTATGTAGCGTGCATTTTGTTATGATGCTAAAATATTTAGGTCTTGTGTATATTGCTCTTTGAACCTTTGTATAACTATTTGTATTTTTTATTCGCAACATCGCCCCCTCTACTGTAATGCCCTATGGCGCTGTAGGTATCTGAATAAATAAATAAATACGCCTTTATACGAATCCATCCTCGTGCAGTTTTAACTTAGGGCATTCATCTCCGCAGGCGAACCCGCTAAAACCCGGCGATTGCGTGTTTAACATGAATGTATTTTGTATCCATAGATGAAGCTCACTTTGAACCCTAGATTTTTGAATAAAGTGTACGCAGGGTGCATTTATATATAATCTACCGTTTATTTTGACTGAAGTGAAGCCTAAAAAAAACTATGATACAATGTTTTCCCATTCATGTAGTTCAGCCCTTTCAAGCCACACATTCACTCTATCGTTACTCTATAGCTTCATGGTTGCACATTTTTATTTGCATGTATCTTTTTTTCAGCTATGAACAAAGCGTTAAAGTAAAAACTAACCCAAACCCAATAATATTTTTATTATAGTTTATATAGTCAGGAATGACAAGTGATGATGCAGCAAATGACTAAATAAACTGGACGCTAAATGGGGGCGAACTTGTGCCCAAAAATAAAAGGAGAAAAAAATAACAACAGAACGTCACGGGCGTCGAAGGCCGCGAAGCAGCGGGATCGGACGCTGAGGCGAAAACTGACTGCGGCATGCCACGCGGAGCCCCTTCTGTACACGGGTGGGCTTCTGGAACGTTCGGCTCGTAGAACATTCGTAACTGGATCGGACGAGAAGGTTCTCAAACTTACGAGAACGCCATGTAGAAAGAATGAATAAAAGAAGATTCCGCTCCCTGGAATCGAACCCAGTACTTCCGCGCGACAGTCAAACACGCTAACCACTTGGCCACGCACGCGCTCGCTTGGCAGCGAGAGTGGCAATATTAACATTGCTTAAAGGAGTTTTTTTTTTACTCTGTTGTAAGTCATATTCACTATATATTTTGAACTATTTAATATCCTAAATATATGGCAGAAATATTTGGTTTATAAAGATTTCACATAGTTCCGCCATCTTAACACTTTTTTTACCCGCCATGAGTGTTATAAGCTTTTAAATAGGCAAAAACACATAACGCACCAAAGTACGTAGCAACGGAAACGTGGGGACAATTGTTGAATGCGCAAATGTCCAAGTAAAAACACCTACTTCGATTCATTCTGTAATTGTGTCATGGTGATTCTTGTTAGGCAGATGAAAGAGCACTTTCCTGTGGTATGCTCCTTTTTTGCCACATTGTAGATTCAAATAAATTATCTGGAGATATACCACGCGTGTATACACAATAACAGCGATTTCAAAATAGAACTTTAACAATAGAAGACATCATCAATTTTCTTATGACTATTGTACCCCTACTGTCAACCAATTTCTGGTCAACTCAGTTGTTAGAGCACTCTACTAGTATTGGAGCGGTCCCAGGATCAAATCCCGCCTCAGGGAGATTTTTTTAGCGGCCACCAGTCGCGTAGAAAGCGCGATATGCGCTTTATTCTAGGATAAAATCAATTTATTCTTACGTACGATCTCATTTCCTCAATGCCCGATCTTCTAGGAAACAATTCCTTTTTCAAAATATTGCGTAGTTTAAGCAGGGCTCCTTAAAATTGTCACATTTTTGCTTTCAGTATTTGCACTTCAGAAATATAGCGACACGCTGAAATTGAGACACTAGTGCTTAATTGTCGCAAAGCTCAAATTTATCATCAATATTCCAGCTGTTACAACAGTGTACGTATGGGAATTACATAGTTGTCTTTATCTGTCATATGTCGATATGAATTGTAGAGTAAAATTCGTAAGCGTGTCAACATTACCGAGATGCATGAAAATATGTGCGAGACTCCTCTCGTAATTTGCTTGACCGCGAGAAGGTAAGCTATTATGTATTTCTCTAACGTTAAGTATAAATAAAGCATAACAATATTTTGAAGATGTGGGTCAATTACATGGTATATACTGACCTGCAACATTTGTTCTGGTATGTTTCATTTTATCCAGGATTTTTCCGAGACTCAATGGGGACCTACGACAACATCTATAGGTTGCATGCTGTATTCACTTTGCTGAGCGGAATAATGTTTTATTTCGTTTCCTATCATGAGAGAAACGGCTTTTTGTTACAAAAAGAGTAACACTTTTAGTGAATAAAACGTTCACTATGAAAGATTATTGTGTCGTGACGCAATTACAACTTTTTGTTTCGGTATAGACTTTTACCTTTGACCTTCGGCGATTTAAATTGAAATAGAATTTTTTCGCAAGTGCCCTCTAATATACATAAGTAATCTTAACATTTCACGGCGCCTAGGAAGAACATACGTTTAACTTACCTTTTTGAATATGGCACTCATGGATATCCGTTTTTCTTCCAGCAGAATCAGATGAAATCTCCCTAAAGAATTCCATCACATGCTCTTTTGAACAACTGTCGCTACATTATGGGCAAATAGCCCCATAGGCGTGCTGCTCCAAACTTAATATATTTATCGATTATTTTCTGATTTTGTTTTTGGTTTTCGCGTATGCTTTTGTTGGCCGACAGCAAAGCTCCGGCAACTATGCCTTCCGTAATCACTGCACACACAATTATTAAGAGAAAGTATATGGCTCAAAGTATTAAGAAGATAAAATAAGGTTACGTATCACAGCAAATTTCAGCTGATGTTACCAAGGCCGTATGATCTGCTCTTAAAAGCTTTTGCAGAAATTTGAAGCTCTAGCGCGGGACTTCACGAGGGGAAAAACCCTACCACCAAGCGTGTGATATTGGTTCGCCGTCTCGTGGCTGAGGACGGTTGTACAATCACTCATACTCGTATGGGAATTAAAAAAGCTGCGTTATCCGCTTTTATTAAAGAAGTTTAAAACACGAACATGTTTCAACCGTGGTTTGTGAAGGGGCGCTAAAGACAGCGAGGCAATCGGGAAATGACCGATATATCCAACCTAGCAACATTCTGGCTTATAATTGAAAGGCGCTGAGTCTCACCTTAGCTCAAGAACATGACTTCTATCTGAGTTTTATAGAGGAACCAAACATTATTGTGCGAACGCACAACCCCAAAATAAGTTTTCGACCGCAGCTCTTAGGCGCCCGTTTCCGGCTTGAGCGGCGTCGGCGTAACCGTGAGGTCACGTGACCCCATGATGTCACGTGACCCCATGATGTCACGTGACCCCGTGATGTCACGTGACCTCGGTGACGTCACGTGACCTCGGTGACGTCACGTAACCCCCGTGAGGTCACGTGACCCCCATGAGGTCACGTGATTCCTATGAGGTCACGTGACCCCGTGAAGTCACGTGACACCCGTGACGTTACGTGACCCCCGTGAGGCCACGCGACGTCGCGAGGGTCATATGACCTCACAGTTTCGCCGACGGCGACGCCAACGCCGCTCGAGGGAGTACTAGTAGGCAGGATGAGGAGGTGAGGAGGAGGAAGGAGGGGTGTTCCCTCCCCTCAGTCCCTTCCAGCCTCCTCCTCAAGAGTTGCGCTCTAATTCGGCGTTACAGGGAGTTGTAAAACGGCCTTCTCTGTCTTAACGCCCAAACGCAGTTTGAAGCCATATTTCAGGCATTTGCTTTCGACACAAGTGAAAATCAAAAATGGCGCAGAAAGACAGAAATGAACAGTTCAAATCACCAGAAGACGGTGAATTTATCACCGCAACGTCGGAGTATGCGCAGACTGAAGCATTAATGCGCTTCAAATCAATTTAACTATAAATATACCGCACAAATGTGGATTATTCCTGTTCGTTTGGCGGAGATGTGGACGCAGCGGATGAAACACTTGCCTTATTACCACGGTGTGTCTTTTCTAGGTTGTAATAAATAATATTTTTACCATTATTAACTAAGGAACGGTTGCATCGTTGCTGCCATTAAAGTATCTCTGTTTGTTTATTGCCAAATTCTCTATCAGCATTATGAAAAAATTTCGACTTACATCACCTGAATCATTGTTGAATATG